GCGTGGCCGCATGGTGCTGGAGAAGCGGCAGCGGGGAGCAGTTGCCCTCCTCTGCCAGCCCCACCGCATCCTCTGGACAAAGCGAGAGCTGGGAAACTCACGCTGACCTCACTTAAAAATTAAGCAAGAAGAAGGGCAAATAATAGAATTGGGCTCGAAGCAGAGGGATGGTCGTGAGGTGTGTTGGGAGGGGGCTGGCGCGTGCTCCTGGCAGGAAGCACAGCAGGAGAACAGGGGACCTGGCACCCATCGGGGCTGCTGTCTATGACGTTGGAGCTGGAGGAATTTCAGCAACTCAAGGGAGAACGTGTCTCCTGGCCCCACTGTGCCGTGGCCGGTCTGTTACCATCAGGTTCTGCTCCACAGACGGGCACGTGCTCACACGTAGGGCACCATCTTGGCACAGGCTGTCGGCCGGTCCCTTCTCTTTAGTCTGGCCGGGTCCCCAGGCTGGGTTCTCTGCCCGGCTCAGGCTCCAGGAGCTGGTACGGAACAGGTGAGAGGCAGCGAGGGGGCTGCTGGGGGACGGCGTGCTGGGCCCAACGCATGTCCTTTGGCTGCCCCGCAGGAGTGGCCGGGGCAGCAGCTTGCTCGATTGGCTTCTGCATCGCCGCCAGCGGGGAGCCCGGATGCTGCGCTGGCTCCCTGGCATCAGGGACAGCCACGCCGGCCCTGCCTCTCCCTGAAGCGGTTTGGGTCCCCGTGCTGTTTGCTGAGCTGACGGGGTGAGGCGGGCGTGTGTGCCAGCCTGCGGCGGCTGAGCTGGCGCTTGCTGTACGGACGGACGCCGTACACGGAAGCAGCAGCTCCTCTTCCCAGCGTGAATTTGCAATTACTCCCTCAACATCAGGGTAGCTGAAATCTGTAGCTTTGAAGGCCTGAGCGAGCATTAATTGCATTTCTGGCATGAAAAGTCACCCAACTCGTTTGTTTCTGGAAGGAGCCGGTAGTTGGGCTGTTTGTCACCTTTAGAAAGGCACGCAGGAGTTGTGGCTGGGGCCGCGCTGTAGCTCATCCCCGCCAGCAGGAAGGCTGGCTCCGGGGGAGAGCAGGGGAAAGGCTGCGCTGGCCCCGGGGACTGCACCGGTGGGACGTGACCGGTGCTGCAGGAGCCAGGGACTGCAGGTGCCGCACGCTGCCAGTGGTGCCGCTCACTGTGAGCACAGCAACCTTTGTGCCAGGGCTTAATGCCATGGATTTATAAAACACAGCACCTCCAAGCAGATGCAATTCTGCAGGTGTCCTGCATGGGTGGAGCTGGAGGAACAAGCAGATTTAATACACTGGTGCAAGGAAATAAATTATTTTCCCTCCCAGTCTTGCCTCACTGGGGATGAGAAGGGACCTTGGGGCTCTTCCCCACCATTTGCTGCTGCGGCGTGCTGGGTGCGGGGGGCCTGCTGGGCTGCCCGAGGTGGCCCAGGCCACGAGGGCTCGTCCCCGAGTCTGGCCCTGCTCTCTAAGGACAGCATTTCTGTCCGTAGTGCCTCAAAGGCAGTGCTGTGACTGTCCCAGAAACGCTGCTCTTCATATCCACTCTGGATGGAAACCTTCACGCAGTGAGTAAGAGCACAGGTGACATCAAGTGGACCCTGAAGGATGGTGAGTAGCGACCCAGGGGGGTGCTCACTTGCAGCCTGGCTCCCTGGGCTTGTCGCTAGCCGGGGGTCGGGGCTGCACCCCCCAGCCTGGTTCTTGCTGGTTGTGCTCTGGGCCGGCGGTTCCTCCAGCCCCGGGGGACGCTGCCAGCTGCAGCTCCGGCTCCAGGCACGGCCGGGTTCTTGCGGCGTGTGCTCTGGGCCGGCGGTTCCTCCAGCCCCGGGGGACGCTGCCAGCTGCAGCTCCGGCTCCAGGCACGGCCGTGCACGGAGGAGAGCATCTGGGGGGGGCAGACCCCCGCTGCCAGCGGTGTCTATTCTGGGTCTGAAATGCAAATAGGCTGTGGACCTGGGCACGGCAGTGCATGGCTGCGCTTGGTAAACACTGCCACGTTGTCCCCGCTCGCAGGGAGAGGCTGCTGACGTCTGTGTTTCTCTCTCTTTTTCAGATCCTATCCTGCAGGTGCCGGTTTATGTGGCAGAGTGAGTGTCATCCCCCCGCGGGCAGAGTGCGCTTTGCAGGGCAGGCAGCCTGCGTGCTGTGCAGGAGCCCTTCGGAGGTGCCCTGATGAACCAACACATTCACAGCAAGAAAGGGGAACCTCGGAGACATGAACCTCCCAGCCCAGGCCATAGCATTGCCTTAAACCTACCCTTTGTGCTAGCACTTCATGCATGATGATGATGAGGAGTAGCTGCTCCCTGCTGCTGAATTGTAGCCTTTCTGCAGACAGCCCAGAAGCTCTCGGCACCACCACACACAAAAGCGTAGAAGAGAAATTGAGGAAAATCCACCTGAAAGTGCAGGGGGAAGGCAGGACAGCAGAGAGCTCCCCTGGGGTGGGCAGGGCACCAAGCCAGCACGGCTGGTAGGTGCAGGGTGGCTGTATGGAGTTATGGTGCTGACCCAAAGCGGGAGTTCATCTCCTACCAAATCCACTGCTGGAGGAAAGGTCAAGCCCCGTAGTGAATCACGCTGGAGCAAACTGCTGAAGGGGTTTCTTTAGCGCAGCTCCTCTTTAGCCCTTGGCATGTGTCTGGGGCAGGAGGCAGCTCATGTTTCATCCTCCTCTCTCCTCCTTTCCAGACCAGCATTCCTTCCAGACCCCAATGATGGCAGCCTGTATATCCTGGGAGGAAAAAACAAAGAAGGCTTGATGGTCAGTGGAGCTGCGTGCATTCTGGCTGCCCGCACCCTGGGGGTTCACCAGGCTGGGGGACCAGGCAGACCTGCTGGACAGGGCGAGCCCGGGGCCTTCAGTTGCTCCAGCTTGTCCTTGGCACCTGGAAGATGTCAGCTGAGTGGGTGTGGGGCAATACAGATGGGCCCCTTTCCTTCCCCGCCACTCTGTCCTGCTTTGGGGTTGAGCAGTGAAGGCAGGCGAGGAGGAGGGGACTGTCCCGCGGGACCTCTCCTTCCCACCCTGCTCCTGAAGGCAGGAAGGCTGCTGCTCGGGGAGGCGTTTCTCTGGCCCCGCACCCACGCTGCCGTCTGTGTTGCAGAAGCTCCCGTTCACCATCCCGGAGCTGGTCCAGTCCTCGCCATGCCGCAGTTCGGACGGCGTGCTCTACACCGGTACGCAGAGACTGGCCGCTCCGCCAGACCTGGTGCCAGGGAGGAGGAGAGGCTGAGTGGGGACCTCCCGGGAACATGTCTGTGGAGGGGAGACAGGAGGCAGCCTTGGGGACGGACAGCGGAGACTTACAAAAAACATATTTTCATTTTCAGGGAAGAAGCAGGACACCTGGTTCATCGTGGACCCCAAGTCAGGAGAGAAGCAGACGACTCTCTCGACAGAGGCCTGGGATGGTCTGTGCCCGTCAAGTCCCCTGCTCTACATCGGCCGTACCCGTAAGCCAGTCCTGCTCCCCGTTCGTCCGTCTAGCCCCAGGAACAGGGTGCTGGGCGGTGACCTCGTGCCCTGCCCTCGTCCCCAGAGTACGTCATCACCATGTACGACACCAAGTCACGGGAGCTGCGCTGGAACGCCACCTTTTCTGACTACTCGGCACCGCTCTGCGAGGAGTCCTACCACTACAGTGAGTGGCTGCCGCGCCCCCCGGGGCCCCCGGAGTGGCCAGGGGGCCTCGGCTGTGCCAATTGCTGGGGAAAACGGCTGCTGTGCTGGCCACGGCTCTCGTGGGAGCAGAGCAGCAGGCAACAGCCCACAGCCGGTGGCAGGACTGAGGGAGGGTGGAGGGGGACAAAGCCCCGTGGCCAGCACCCTGCATCGTCCCCTCCCTCTGGCTCTGCCTAGAAATGGCACACTTCGCCTCGAGTGGGGACGGGCTGGTGGTAACGCTGGACAAAGAGAGCGGGGAGGTCCTGTGGGCGCAAAACTATGGCTCACCCGTGGTCGGCATCTACGTGTGGCACCAGGACAGCCTCCGCCGCGTCCCCCACCTCAACCTGGCCATGGAGACCCTGCGCTACCTGACCTTCCACTCGCAGGACATCCACCTCCTCAAGTGGAGCTACCAGTCCATGAAGGATTTCGCTGCCACCAAGACCCAGCTGCTGTAGGTGGTTCCTCTGCTCTGGCAGCCGGTGGCATTTGCGTTGCCTCTGCACGGCCGCCCTGATCTGTGACGGATGGAAGGCTGATGCTTGTCGCTGCCTTGCAGGCCAGCGCTCTACGTGGGGAAGTACGCGGCCAGCTTCTACGCCTTGACCTCCCTGGTCCACAGCAGCGTGGCTCTAGTGGTGAGTGTCCCCGCTGGCCCCTTTTGGGGTGAGCCGCAGTGGGTGCACGTCCCAGCTGCATGGTGCTGCATGAGCTGTCGGACCCCCAGCCGCAGGGCATCACACTGGCCAGGATCGACGGCCCCACCACGGATGATGTGACCATGAGAGAGTCGGGGGAGTGTGAGATCACGCCCAGCACTGACGTCAAGTACCCGCAGGGCAGCATCACCTCGCTCCACAACCAGTGGCTCCTAATAGGTGCGGATCCACAAGGGGCATGGG